TTTTTTTTATTGGTCTTATGAAGTAGTCTAATTTGTTGAGATAGTGAATTGGTGGGTTTTTGTTAAATGTGAGCCAAAATCATCACAATTAAAAGAACCAAAGACTTAAACTACTTCAGTCTGTGTGCATTGAATTTATTTAATACACGAGTTTCACAATTTGAGCTGAATTACTGAAATAAATGAACTTTTCCACGAGATTCTAATTTATTGAGATGCACCTGTATATAGACAAGTTTTTGAGATAAACAAGAAATGGCATTCTCATTTAACTGGAGAGTGTTTCCTGTCATTTGTTTAGTGAGCAGCATGGATGCATGTTGACAGGATATAACATAACTTGTAAATCAATTAAGAAGAGTAATTAACGGCTTATAGCTGTCTGAAGCCATACCCAGAAGTAAAACGCCTACATGTATGCACGTAACTAATGCCATTATTGTGCTCGCAGAACCTTTTTCATCCCACCCACAATTTTTTTTTCACCGTTTTTTTTTTTAATTTTTAGATAGGACAGAGTTAGATTGGTCAGGAAGTGAAGTGAGAGAGAGAATGGAAATGGCTTCATCAGAGATAAAGTGCTATTTAGTAGTTGCAAAATAAGACGTTGTGGCCACTGTGCTGATCATCTTAAACAGGCTCTGCTAATTCTGTCTGCCTTTCTAAAAGAACATCGAGAGCCACTCCATCAGGAATCCTGATGAGAAGGACTGATTGTACAGGATATCAACCAGGAAGAGGAAACACATTTGCTTAAATGTATAGTTCACACAAAAAAGAACATTTGCTGAAAATGTACTCACTCTCAGGCATCCAAGATTGTAGATAAGCTGATCAGATTTGGAGAAATTGCACTGAATTGGTGCCGTCAGAATGGACCCAAACAGCTGATAAAAATCACAATAATCCACAAGTAATCCACACGATTCCAGTAAATTGAAAAGTTGGTTGTTTGTAAGAAACCAATCAATCAAGATGTTTTTAACATAAAACCAATGCTTCCGATTGAAATACGACTCCTCTCCAGTAAAAAAGTTGAGCAGAATGCATGTGATCATCTTCTTAAAGAAATAATAATAAAATAAAAATGTATTTAAAGTATTTCCCCAAGACTAAGTTGTATTTGAACCTATATTTGAACCAGCATTTTAGTCAACATCTGTCCTGTTCACCTGAATATCATTATGCTAAAATATTTATTTTGTATTGCACTCTAAGAATATGTCTGTTTAAAGATTCTTCACACATATAGTAACAGTTCTATTTAGAAACATATTGTGAAGAACCATTTTGAGTAAAAAAAAAAAAAGAAGTTATATTTAGCACCAAAAAGAGCTGAAGAACCCAAATCTGGCACTGTTTAGAACTATTTTTCTTAAGTGTGTAGTTTCATATTTATTGTCGATAAAACATATGAATGGTACCCATTTTCCAGTGTTTTAACGAATGGTCTAAATGAACTCTTTCCTCCAGTTCCACTGATCAAGGGTAACTAGGACACACTCTCTACATCTTATGTAACCTAATACGTGACTATCTCCCCACTCATCTTCCCTGGGTCAAGATATTTTTGGTTTATTGATCCATGTGTAGGTTTTCATGGGAAAAAAATCCCAATGGTTCATTGATTGTGGACAGCCCCAATTATAACGGTCCCTTTACTTCACTTATAATTGATTTGGGCCACTTCAGCTTCAGTGACACTGGAAAATGTACCATTATTGAATCATTCACAGTTGTTTCCATACTAAACCAGTCTCTAAACCAGGGGTGTCAAACTCAAGTTCTGGAGGGCCGGAGCCCTGCACAGTTTTGTTCCAACACACATACCATGTAGTTTTCAAATAAGCCTGAAGGACTTGATTAGTTGGATCAGGTGTGTTTAATTAGGTTTGAATCTAAACTCTGCAGGGCTCCGGCCCTCCAGGAATTGAGTTTGACACCCCCGCTCTAAACCATCCGTGTGCAAAAGCCTCAAAGAAACGAGTTTATAAAACAGGGCACACAATACAAGCAAAGATAGCACCAAAACACAGCCCTGGCATGAACTGAGATAAGATATGTATTCTTCTCGAACGAGCATATGATGTGGGAATGCAATGTTTGCATAATACACCCACAGTCCATTCATCCACCAAAACCAGCACCGGACATTATGACATCACCTACAGGACAGAGAATGTTGGCATTTATAAGCATTGAAACGGCTGATCTGTATCGGTATCAGACTTTCTTCAGTGGACAAAAATATTTTTTTTCCCCTACCCACACACTGACAATCAGCTGTCTCCAATGTTGTTTGATTCACAACATTCTGCAAAACATCTATATAGAAACATATTCAGGTTTGTGAGTAAATGATCATAATTCTTAAATTATGATTAAAACTACAATTCTTGGTGGACTATCCCTTCAGCAAGTCTAACTACCGCAGGCCTGGAAAAATACTTTAAATGCTGTCCTTACCCAGATCCAGCATAAAAAATAAAGTTAGCAGTTATCTAAGAGGGGGAAAAAAAGTGTTATTGCTAAACCAACCACTTAGAAAACTCCCAAAATCAATAAAGGTAAACACTGCCATCTTCTGGTGAATATTAAAAATAGCCATCTCGCTCCCCTATAAAAGGTTATGTATTTGCAAGGTATTTTAGATACATACATTTTATAAATGCTTGTTCAACAGGAATCAAACCAATGACTTGTTTTTAAGCATACTCAAACAGAAAGTACAAAAAGCATTGTTTGCATCATCAGAGCCTTAAGAAATTGTCTGTAGGGAGAGGAACTCCTTAACATCAGTAGGGCTGGGCAAAAAATATCGATATCTCGATATTAATCGATTCTCATTTTAACGGAACGATATCCCAAGAATCGATTAGTCAAGCCTGTTTTCAGTTAATGGACAGAACGTTGAAGGGCACTTCCCATCCAATAAATCTCGATAAGCATTGTGCTTTTGGTACTTTTAATAATAAACAAAGTCTCAGATTTCAAATTCTGTCCATTGTATTAAAGTATTTCAAACTTAAATGCCGTTTTGGCGCTGTTTAATGTGGAGTGACAGATCGCTGTAGCGCCTCAGTTCAACAGACGTGAACTGATCGTCTCCTCCACATTAATACCAGCTTCAGCACAAAATAAACATGACTAAACATCCGAAGGAAAGTTAAAAGAAAGAGTATAACTTTACAATCCGTATCCTGTCTCATGTAATCGCTCAATCAGTGTTTCAGCCGTGCAAAGACGTCAATATAATATGGCTTCTAAACAATGTCACGTAACGTCACATTTACCTCAGAAAAACAATCAGTGATCATAAACTCATTAATCACATAGAAAAAAACTGTACAGAGGGTTTTCAGTTAATGGACAGAACGTTGAAGGGCACTTCCCATCCAATAAATCTCGATAAGCATTGTGCTTTTGGTACTTTTAATAATAAACAAAGCCTCAGATTTCAAATTCTGTCCATTGTATTAAAGTATTTCAAACTTAAATGCCGTTTTGGCACGGTTTAATGTGGAGTGACAGATCGCTGTAGCGCCTCAGTTCAACAGACGTGAACTGATCGTCTCCTCCACATTAATACCAGCTTCAGCACAAAATAAACATGACTAAACATCCGAAGGAAAGTTAAAAGAAAGAGGATAACTTTACAATCCGTATCCTGTCTCATGTAATCGCTCAATCAGTGTTTCAGCCGTGCAAAGACGTCAATATAATATGGCTTCTAAACAATGTCACGTAACGTCACATTTACCTCAGAAAAACAATCAGTGATCATAAACTCATTAATCACATAGAAAAAAACTGTACAGAGGGACATTTTGCTTAATATATGCACCATATAACATTCATTTTTTTTTTTACTGTTCTTCAATGTTTAATTTGTTTGAATAAATCCATCAAGTTAAGACTGCCACCATTTAAATGTTTATATATAATTAAAAAAAACGAATTGAAGTAGAAATATGTAACTAACTTTATTATTGTAAAAACGTCATTGATTTTAACCTTCAATATTATAAAGTAGTAGCCTACCAACTGACTCATGTATATTTTACAGCATTAGTTGATTTTTTTTCCTTGAGAAAATTTGGCATGTACTGTACCTGATGTATATCCAAAATAATCGATATTGAATCGAATCGCAAGCTTGCGAATGAGAATCGAATCGTGAAATTTGTGTCAAAACCCAGCCCTATCTAAGTAAGTCACTTGAGACAAAAAAGCAAACCATACACATCCTCTTAAAAGCAGACAAATCAACAGATTTTTTTTTTTACATTTATTTTTTGACAGTTTCTTACAAAGTACGGTTTATTTCTTCTTTTCGGGGTCCTGCTCGGCGGCCTCCTTCGCCCTCTTGGCACGGATGCCGAACAGACGGGCGTTGGCACGGGCCATACGCAGGGTGGCAAAGGCCTTGAAGTTCTTCTCGTCCTCTGAGATCACGCGGGCCTTCTCTTTCTTGTACACCTGCAGAAAATATGGACACTTCCTCAGTTGCAGCAGAACACTACATTATATATCAAGAGCGGAGTTTACATTAAACACCTTATTTCCACACATTTCTCTACCTGCATCTTATTCCCGACATGAAATAAGACCAGTTTAAGCCTTCAAACAATATATAGTTTGTTTTTATCCCCCTGGCCTGAGTATCATTTAATACATTAAGCTTTTACAGCTCTGCAGGTTTTATGAAGGTAAATTTATGACTTGAAGAAAATGTACTTCAAAGAAACGTATAAATTAAGGAATAAATTGAATGAAACAATACATCAATAGGGTCTGCAAATACAACTTCCAAAATATCTCCATTACTTTAATTCATTTTGTAAAGCTCAAGTTCCTACGCCTCTGCCAGCAACCACTAGAATATGGAAATCATTTTTTACTGCACCTTCTAACCACACACCGACAAAGTGATGATCTTCCTCACTATATTTGTCTTGTTCTCGTGTGAAAATGTTTAAAGATTCATTTACTTGAGAAACAACATGACAAAAATGTATTGTTTACTGAAAAATTGATCAAAATATAGAAAAACATCATCTGCCAATGATTCAAGAAAAATCTAATAAATTCAAAGGGAAAACCAGATTTCATTTACATATTTGGTAGGTTTTAAACAACTTTATTTTGTTCAATATCTCAAAAACAACCTATGTTCAAAGTAAACATATGCATCTCAAGTAAATGTGCCTCGATTTAATGAGAAAGATTATTTTGGCAGTGCAACATTCAATGCCATAACTATGAATTTAAGATTGCTAATATTTACATGGCCAAAAATGAAATTCTGATAGCTTATGCTGTAAATCAGTGATAGCAGACTGCTTGCAGAAAATGCCAGAGAAATATTTAGCAGGCTAAATATCTGGAACAGGCTACGACTCCAAATCTTGCCGTGTGCAATGCGTTTTGACTGGAAATGACATTGGTGACAACACACACACACACACACACACACACACACACACACAACACAAAGCGTGTCAAACAACCAAACACAAACAAAACAACACTACTGAATAAGGCTAAAGAGTATGCAGTCATCAGCTGTAAAAGGGTTCGAAAGTCATCAAGGATGTGCAGAGATTCCGGAGAAAGTGTCATCAATTGACTGCAAACACTAAAGCTGTTACCAATTACAATAAACTGCATTTTAGACCTGCCATATTAATTATGCATTGAAGGATATGATTTACAACGAATCGCATAGCTTCAAAACAATATTTATCCCAAGAAAGGTCGGAGTTATGAACTAAAGGAAGCCACTTACAGTGCCGTCTCCCTTCTTGGGTGCAGAAGCCTTCCTGGGGAAGATGATGAGTTTGGAGCGGTACTCCTTCAGCCTCTGAACGTTGGCCTGCAGAGACTCTGTGGATCGGTTATGCCGGCGAGGGTCAACGGCGATGCCGATGGTGCGGGCCACCTTTTTGTTGATTCCTGCTGCCTGTACAAGCAAATTACAGAGCAATGTGAGACATGCGAGACTTGATTGTACTGGAACACATCAACAATTTCAGCATCAACAGTCATCAGCAAATAGGGTTCAAAGGAGATCATCAATGAAGTACAGAGATTCCGGAGAATTATCATCATTTGACTGTCTGAAATAACCATAAATGAGAGAGAATTTTTATTTTAGTTCACACAAAATAACAATTGTTATCATTTACTCACCCTCATGTCATTCCAAACCCACAAGACTTTGGTTTATCTTGAGAGGGTTCGGTCCAATCTTTGAAAGTCCAGGTAACCAAAACAGGAAGATCCGAAAAGGACAATGTGTTGTAAAATAAACCACATAAAATGGTTTAATCCAAGTCTTGTGAAGAGTTACGATGTGTGTTTATGTGAATAAATGTCCTAATAAAAATCATTCATATACAACTGTCTATACATGTACAACAACAACATATACACCATGGCCTTTTCGGATCCAAGTTTTGGTTACCTGGATTTTCAAGGTGGGAGACAGAAACTTCAAGTTTCATTTAATGTCTTGTGTTTCAAACATTAATCAAAGAGTGAGGGTGAGTAAACTACAATTTTCATATTTGTGACCCTGGACCACAAAACCAGTCTGAAGTCACAGGTAGGCTATATTTGTAGCAATAGCCAACAATACATTGTATGGGTCAAAATTATCGATTTTTCTTTTATGCCAAAAATGATTAGGATATTAAGTAAAGATCATGTTCCATGGAGATATTTTATAAATTTCCTACCGTAAATATATCAAAGCTTAATTTTTGATTAGTAATATGCATTGCTATGTGATTATCTAATATATATATTTATTTATTTATAATTTTTTATTCTAACAAACCATACATCAATGGAAAGCTTATTTATTTAGCTTTCAGATATAAATATTAATGCTGTTAAATGATTAATCGCATCCAAAATAAGTTTGTTTACATAATATACGAGTATGTACTGTGTATAAATATATATATATATATATAAATAAAATAAACAAAATATACATTTAAGAAAAATATGTTCATATATTAAAAATATTTACATATAAGATATAATATAAATATATAAATGTATATGTAAAAAAACAAAAAAAGAAAAAAAAAAACTCTGTGTGTGTATTTATATATACATAAACAGTACACAAACATATATAATAAGGGCCTTTCGCACCGCAGGAACCTTTTCATAGTACCAGAACTAATTGTGGAACTACCCACTTTTTGGTGTTTTCGCACCGCCGGAACTGGGTGCGATTTTAGTACCGGACTGCCTTTTCGAAAACCAAATGAGCTCCTACTCCGGAGCAGGGTCTAACCAGCACAACTGGTACTAACCGTGACGCAAGTAGACATTGATTGGCCAAACGCGTATGAAAACGCTCTCACCCGCCATGATTTAAAACGCCGTGTAACTGTAAACATTGTGTCAACTTATTTCGCAAGTATGGAGAACAGCGATAGATGGACGGACGCTGAAGTGCAGGCACTTGTAGCACTGCCAGTTGTCTTTGGAAATTCTTAGTCCTCCTTTCCGTTCTTTCAATCGCTTTACGTATACGTCGACTTTCCATGTCCATTATTGTGAAACCCGCGAGACACAACAAAAACAGCTCCGATCACAGCGTCCTCCATCCTCCTGTTGTTAATGTTGTTCTTCTTTGTTTCTGTTGTTGAACGCCGCGCACAAATGACGTCGCTGTCGACCGGCTTACGTCACTTCCTAGTACACACTGTTGGTGCGAATGCAACCCTTTAAATAGTACCGGGAAATAGTTCGTGCAAAATCGTCCCAGTACTTTAGTACTGAACATTTAGTTCTGGAACTAAAGCGGTGCGAAAGGCCCTTATGTAAATCAACTTTTTTGGATGCGATTAATCGCGATTAATCGTTTGACATCACTAGTAAATATCAATTTCAAATAATTGACCAATTATGACTGGTTTTGTAGTCCAGGGTTGCATTTTTGTGAACTAACTGCTTAAACTAGCAATAATGTGGCATCAACCTCACCTTCAACTCCTCCAGGGTGAACCCGCGTCCGGCACGGACCTTGGTGTGATAGCGGATGGTTGGACACCTGACCGCTGGCCGAAGAGGTCCAGCAACCGGTCTTGGAGCGATGCGGCGGGCCTTTGCCTGACGGGCCTTTCGTCTGAGGAAAAAACAAGAGAGATGCATTTTAATAAAGTGATGCTTTCCATGAACTATTCAAATCCATTTGTCAGTACAGACTTAGTGTTACCTGCGGATCTTTCTGGCAGGCTGGTTGAACCAGGTGCGCACTCTCTTCTGCCAGTCTTTATGAAAGTGAGGGTTCAAGATCATGCCATTCCGGCTGGGAGCCATGACTGTTCACTCCTGGTGTAAAAGAAACGTTACAGTAATAATCACAGTCCCCTGCTCCACGTTCACATATAGCTCAACTAGCATTAACTGAAGCTTTGCACGGTCGTTTATAGTTGTATAAAGAATTGCACGCTCATGAAAGCCATTAAAACACTTTAGCAATTATGTTTATTTTGTGTACCCGTCCAAACTGATATTCACACAAGCACACGGAGTATGGAGAATGCGACAGAGTACTGTGTACTAAAATGACCTTTTTTCATCTCTCAATAATGTATAATACTGGCAATAGAGGCAAGTTTGCACATTAAACACATTACACTTTGAGACTGGACTACTTAAAATATCACATGATAAACAGTTAATAAGGATTAATGCGGATAAACTTGATGTTTAGCCGGAATTAATGCACATACCGTATGTAGCGGAAAATGGCGGAAAAGGAAAAGGAAATGACAACGCGGAGTTTCAAGGGAAGTGAAGAAACGAGCCGGAAGTGTGAAGCCGGGTTTGTTGTGACAAATCAGCACGTGGATGGACGTAGATTAAAAGTTCGACAACTAATAGTTTACTACTACTACTAATAATTATTATTATTCAATTAATAGTTAATAAAGTGAATGTAAAGGAGAATGTTGCTAATTTAACGCGGTAAAAAAAAAATGCATACGTAGATACGTGCATGCAAATAAAAGAAAACAATCGAATATGTTCATTAACACACATATAAATGAACATAATCGAACATAAATTAAATTAATATAATCGAAATTAAAATCCAAGAATGAATGAGTTGCTGAATGAATTAAACGATCACACTCCATCATACTAAATAAATTATAAACCACCTTAATGCTTTTACATTGTATTAAGTAAAATGCTTTCCATTTAGTAACATTCGTTTTGAACACAAGGAAAACTTCTATCACTGTAGAAAAATAAAAATGCATATACATGGAATTTGAGTCAAATCTGTTCTAAATAGGCCTACTTTAGAACTGAGTGTAACTAGAAAACTGTACACTCTAAAAAATGCTGGGTTAAATACAACCCAGTGCTGGGTAAAATAGGGACAAACCTGTTTTGACCCAGCGGTTGAGTTAAATGTTTAAACCTACCTTCTGAGTAGTAACCCAACCGCTGGGTCAAAACAACCCAATTGCTGGGTTTGTCCCTATTTCGGGGGGGTTGTAAGGCGTCCCTACATATAAAACGTGGTATATCTGGAGTAAGCATTGCTTTGCATCCTAAAGAACAACAATTCTCTAAATGAAAAACCTGTTAGAGGTGCATAGGCTCTTTCTTATTTTGACAGATTTATTCTGTATGTAGAGTGCTTTCTACATGAGTTTTAACCAAAAACACATATTCATATGTGAAATCGTTAAAGGCATGTGTGGTCATTCGTATGTAATATTTGTAAACTTGTATGGTAATACAAACCCAGCGGTTTGATTTAAATGTTTAACCCAACCTTCTGGGTAGTAACCCAACCGCTGGGTCAAAACAGCCCAATTGCTGGGTTTGTCCCTATTTTACCCAGCACTGGGTTGTATTTAACCCAGCATTTTTTAGTGTATAAAACAAGTACAGCTATAATCTGTATATAGTTACCAAAATAAGTTAACATTATAAACATCTAAATAAATGTCCTTTTGGCCAAGGAGTTACCGTTTCCTAACAAATGCAAAGAAAGGTATCTGCTGTGAATTCTTTTACACAGGCTTGTTTTTTTTTCAGGCAGAAAAAGATACTATGCTCACCCTTCATTAATCATTGATCTCTGAAACACAGAAACTCGCCAGTCTTTTAATCTCAGGGCAAAGGTCAAGGTGTGCTGGGCTGGGAGGTGCTCTTGGTTCCCTTCTGCATGTGTGCCCTTCTTTTCTCTACACCAATCTCAGCATCAAGAGAGAGAGAACTAGCTCTTAAAACAAACAGTACAGTACAAAAAGAAATAAATGCCTCACATATGTGCGCAATTTGCTTGCAAAATATCTGAAACAAACAATGGTGCATTTCTTGATCATGTACACTACTGTTCAAAATGGGGTCAGGTGTATGTATTTATTTTTTTTAAGAAATTAATACTTTTATTTAGCAAAGACATAAAATTACAATACAAATATTACTTTCAAATGATTTCTATTTTAAACGAATGCTGTTCTTTTGAACTGTCTATTCATCAAAGAATCCAGAAAAATATCATAATAATAATAAATAATTCCTAAACAGCAAATTTGCATATTAGAATGATTTCCGAAGGATCATGTGACACTGAAGTCTGGAGTAATGATACTGAAAACTCAGCTTTGCATCACAGGAATAAATTCCATTTTAAAATATCAAAATAATAAAGATTTTATATTGCAATAATATTTCACAATATTGCCGTTTTAATGTATTTGTCATTAAAATAAGCGCAGCCTTGGTGAGCATTTAAGTCTAACTTCAAAAACAAAGAATCTTACCGAGCTCAAATTTTGTAGATATTTTTGGTAATATATGATGGAAGCATTTGCTGTAAAGTATGTCAGAAGCAATGCTTCACATTCATGTGTTAAACTCATCATTTATTATATGCTTTAAAGGAGACATATTATGCCCCTTTTTACAATATGTAATATAAGTCTCTGGTGTCCCCAGAATGTGTCTGTGAAGTTTCAGCTCAAAATCCTCCCCAGATCATTTATTATATCATTTTGAAAATGCCTATTTTGAGTGGAAGCAGAAACGAGCTGTTTTTCGGGCCTGTGTCTTTAAATGCAAATGAGCTGCTGCTCCCCGCCCCCTTTTCCAGAATAGAGCTGCATCATTACAGCTTGCACCTGTTAAAACATCTGTTTTGGTTCTGATTATCATGTTTATCATGCTGAAATCATGCGTTTTAAACCATATGAGTTTAAACGTCTGATATACGGTTTTCTGAGCGCACACATCCGAAGCACACGGACAGAAAGCGGCTGTCACAGGCATGTGAGTACTAATCTTAAGTTATCATTCACACACAAGTTTATGTTAAAAACACACACGAGTTACAAAAACAGTCGGTTTTGTCTGTGAAGGTAAACAGCTGGGAAATAAATCACATGTTTATTTTAGATCTGTGTCAGCAGCAATATACAGTAAATAAATCAATAAATCTGACGCGCTCGTTTTCTCAGAGGCTTGCAGAAAAAGGCTTACTAAAACAAAGTTACTGGGTCAATCTTTTTCACGTTTCCTTGGTTGGTAGATGCACCGGCGACCCGATTATAGCACTTAAAACCTGCAAAAGTCCGATTTTCATGATATGTCACCTTTAAAGGAACACTCCACTATTTTTGAAAATAGGCTCATTTTGCAACTCCCCTAGAGTTAAACAGTTGATTTTTTACCGTTTTCTAATCCATTCAGCCGATCTCCGGGTCTGGCGGTAGCACATTTACCTGCAGCTTAGCATAGATCATTGAATCGGATTAGACCGTTAGCATCTCGCTCAAAAATGACCAAAGAGTTTCTATATTTTTCCTATTTAAAACTTGACTCTTCTGTAGTTACATCGTGTACCTGAGCGCACACATCCGAAGCACACGGACAGAAAGCGGCTGTCACAGGCATGTGAGTACTAATCTTAAGTTATCATTCACACACAAGTTTATGTTAAAAACACACACGAGTTACAAAAACAGTCGGTTTTGTCTGTGAAGGTAAACAGCTGGGAAATAAATCACATGTTTATTTTAGATCTGTGTCAGCAGCAATATACAGTAAATAAATCAATAAATCTGACGCGCTCGTTTTCTCAGAGGCTTGCAGAAAAAGGCTTACTAAAACAAAGTTACTGGGTCAATCTTTTTCACGTTTCCTTGGTTGGTAGATGCACCGGCGACCCGATTATAGCACTTAAAACCTGCAAAAGTCCGATTTTCATGATATGTCACCTTTAAAGGAACACTCCACTATTTTTGAAAATAGGCTCATTTTGCAACTCCCCTAGAGTTAAACAGTTGATTTTTTACCGTTTTCGAATCCATTCAGCCGATCTCCATTACGCAGCGCCTTAAAATAGTCCCCAGCTAGGTGACTTCCAACGGAAGGCACGCACCCTGTGCAAGCAGGTGGTCACGTTGGTTATGTTGGCGGAAGTTAGCCTATTTTCAAGCACTGCGTAATATCATTGCGCCTGCTGCACCCATGGTACGGCAGCAAAGTTTCCGTCAACAATAAACTTAGTGCCGGTCACGTTGGAAGTTACCTAGCTGGGGACTATTTTAAGGCGCTGCGTAATATTGCGCCTGCTGTACCCTTGATTGTTACGCTAGAATGAGAGTGTAGTTCCAAGCCATATCGGCCTAGAAAATCGCAACCTTTCATTTTCATTTTCATGGTCTTAGTACACAATGTAACTACAGAAGAGTCAAGTTTTAAATAGGAAAAATATCGAAACTGTTTAGTCATTTTTGAGCGAGATGCTAACGGTCTAATCAGATTCAATGATCTATGCTAAGCTACAGCTAAAAGTGCAACCGCCAGACCCGGAGATCGGCTGAATGGATTCGAAAACGGTAAAACTCAACTGTTTAACTCTAGGGGAGTTGCAAAATGAGCCTATTTTCAAAAATAGCGGCGTGTTCTTTTAAGTTATAAGAACAATACGTTACTGGTGTCATAAGACAATTTGAAAATCTGAAAGGGTCAAATTTGAACATACCAGAATGTTGCAACAGAACAGGCAAACTGGCTCACAATGTTACATTTTCAAATTTATTGCATGTCATGTTACGTCAATGTCACACACATCATATTGACAAATATACTATTTAAGACAATCAGCAGAACCAGCCCTCTCTTTGTTTGAGCCCATGTAAAGCACCTCAAACTGTTTCCAAAAGCCCTCGAAATATTTGGCTTTTGACTCCAAAATACACGAGTTTGTTAAACTAGCTCATTACAAAAGATTATTTTGGCGGAAAAGAAAATTACAAAATCAAAATAAATAGATTTCAAAGAATTGTATTAGTACTAATTCTACCACCGGCATTCTAGAGTAGCCATTGGGAATCCTTAAAGGCTCTGAATGATCAATAATAACAAATAACGAAGGTCTGAACACCTTTATGAATCAAGGGATTTGATGAATTTTTCATAAGCAGCTTCATCCATGAGTTCATCAAGTTCTGCAGGTTTCTCTATGGTCATCTTAATCAACCATCCTTGAGGAGGGAGAAAGGAATGTTTGTATATTACACATCCACGTACAGTATTGTGTGATTTCAGTTTAATAAGAGACTAACAGCTGCACTCACCGTCTTCATAGCAGGCTTTATTTACAAGTCCCGGGTTATCTGCCAGATTTGTGTTGATTTCGGTCACCTCTCCAGTCAGTGGAGAATACAACTCACTAGCAGCTTTGACGCTTTCTAAAGCACCGAACTCCTCTGAAAAAGAAATACACGTCATGTTGTCTGTGCTACAGCAGGATAAAGGCACAAGATGGGGATTTCAGATTCTTCTCACCAATTTGTTCAAGCTTTGTTCCCACTTCTGGAAGCCCACAGTATACCACATCACCTAACGCTTCCTATGGTGATAGAACAGAGACCATTTTAAACTAAACTTAAACTGCATAAAAAGAAAATATTGCAATAGCAATATAACTTTTAAAGTTAACATCAAATTGAAATGGACCCCTCCCCCTTTACTTTTTTTGCATGTTATTCCAAAGACACTAAAGACGCAATTTTTTAAGAATTGCGAGAAACTCGTAAATATGACTTTTTCTCTGGCAATTCTGAATTTACATCTCACAATTCAGACTTTTTTCCTCAGAATTCATTTTTTTCCCCCCATCACAGAATAAGTAGTAAAAAGCATAAAACATTTGAAACTGAACTGACACCATCTATAAACACTTATTTCTTTCTAAAGAGGAGCACACCTGAGCAAAGTTGCTGATGCCAACCGTGCCCACAGTCCCTTCCACTCTCACCCATTCGTGTTTGTCTGTGAACTTCAGAGCTGGAAAAACACAAGAGAATATAAATAATAATAAGATCAAGATAAACAGAACCATTCATTAAAGTAATACATCTCCCAAAACAACAAAAAGTGTGCTGTCAATTACTCTCTCACATAGTGTTATTTTAGCAGGGCTTGCAAAATTTCTAAATCGCTGGTAGACATTCTTCAGATTTTGGTAGCCCAAAATGAATTGAAGTAGCCCAAAAAAAAAAAGGAAAAAAAAGACATCGGCTGAACTTCTCTGCGGATCAGAGGCAACCACTGCATTTTAATCATGATCCAAACAAAGATGCTAAATACATGTTATTTAGATTGTATAATTTCGAAATGTGAAGCAAAAACAGAGTGGTTTGATTTTAGCTTTGTGAATGAGACGCAGATGTCACTCTCTGACAGCAGGTGGCGCTTATGAAACAGCTGGTATTTATATGCTACTGCCCCTTTAAGGCCGAATGCATAGATCCAATATAATGATGCACTTGAGATTTCTTTTTTCACTGTTTACGTTCACTTAAGACATAACTGACTGTGTTTACGAGAATACTTGCCAAGACCGTTATTTTGAGATAATGTTGTGTGTGTGTTCATTCAGATGCAAGGATATGCGAAAGAGGAATCGATTCTGTGTATGCGCATTGTCTGAAACGCGGCTCTCTGTGCACGCTTTGAATGAGTGCGCGCAGCTCCGAATGTGTTTGAATGGTTTAAAACACTTGAATGTTTAAATCGGCAAGACTTACGCGGAGTTCACACTGCACGATTTTCAAAGACGTCACATCACTGTTGGTTTCACACTGAACGACTGACTATCTGGGGTAGCATTCAGTTGTTGCTGTGTTCACATTTCACGATGGAACGACGTCAGTAGGTTACACACTGCATGACTTTACAATAGGAAGAATCGCCGACAGCTCTGTCTGGTGCAGGGTTGCCAGGTTTTCGCAACAAAACCCGCCCAATTACTACTCAAAACTAGCCTGAAAATAGCCCAATAGGGGTTATGCGCAACAGACTTCCGTATTCTGTTAACCGGGTCTCGTCGCTTCCGGTTCAAGCGTTTGGCATATGCTTAGTTAAAGGGGTCATATGATGCGATTTCAAGTTTTCCTTTCACTTTGGAGTGTTACAAGCTGATTGTGCATAGATAAGATCCCTGAAGTTGCAGACTAAAGTCTCAAAACCAAAGAGATATTCTTTATAAAAGATGACTCTGCCATGCCCCCCGAAAACGGCTCGTTCTAACACGCCCCCACATATCTACCTCACTATGTGGAAATATCTGCGTAATGCGCCCAAATGTGCACGCAAAGAAAGAAGGCGTGGTTTCAGTAACCGCAGTTAGTGTTGAAGCAGCATGTCAGGGAGACGCTGTGTGTTTCTAGGCGAAAGCAAAAGCACTTTATTTGGCCTTCCGATGTACAGTATTTGAAAAATAATGTGTTTTTTGAACATTAAAGCATGTCAACATTCTGTTACACCAAATACACAAAATAATGATCTTTAAAAAAAGCATCATATGACCCCTTTAAATATGAAGCAGTTTTACTCAAGATGCCTTCAAAGTAAATACCAATGATGATCATAACCAATGTCCATCACATATGTGACTGATATCTAAAAGTTTTTTTTTTTTTAATTCTTTTCACATTTAGATATAAAAATGGAATAAAACGTCAACAATAAAAACAAGCTAGCTAGTTTAACTGATTATCTTAAAAGTTCATAGATATCGCTATTATTTAATACGGCTGTTAACACGTTCTCCGACAAGCGGAAGCAATGAGACCTGTTTTCCGGGTTTGGTCAGGTTATATTCGACATATACCCTGCTGCTTTCCAGTAAAAATTGCGTTGGGGGGGGTTTATGGGGGGTAAAATAAAAAATTTTTTGGCGGGGTTCTCCTGGTACAATTCACATTCCAGGGCCTAAATATCACGTTATTGGGGTCGCTTCAACCTGCTCACATAAAAAACAACCGTTCGGCAATCGCGGATTTGGCAACACTGGTCCGCAAACTACGTTTCATATAACTCCTTCCCGAACTTCCCGCTGCCCTGTATCTTGGTCTCTGATTGGCTGTAGGTCATCGTCGATGTGGTTTTCAGTCAGAACTCATTGCACACAGCGTGATTGTGAATCGCCGACAGCTCCAGATATTTAGCATGCCAAATATTTCACGGGCGTCGGCGATTCCCTCAGATCGCGTCTTTGATCATTCACACTGCGTGACTGTCACTCGCTTGAACGAGCACCGATTTGCCTCCGATTTCGGGCATTTGCGAGTGAAAAATCAGGCTAAAATCGTGCAGTGTGAACTCGGCATTAGAAGCACGTGCAAACGATCAACTATGATCCATTTTACCCCTACAAGCTAGTGAACAACGCAAATCAAGGAAGGAATTTTATATCACTGTTCAAGATAGCCCGTCGGGGAGGGCGGTGATACATTTTGGTAGCCCGAATGGAAAACACAATAGCCCCGGGACATCGGGCTAGGAATTTTGCGAGCCCTGTTTAGTATACTATTAAATACTATTTTGAATGAGCTTTTATTTTTATATTTTCATTTCAGTTTGTGTTTTGTGACTTTTTATTTATTAAAAAAAAAATTATATATAGCTTTATTTTTATTTGTTTTAGTAATTTCATTTTGAAGTGCAAGTTTATTTAATATTTATATTTTTACTTTAGTTACCAACTGAACTAGCCTATACAATTATAGTAGTTTTAATTTTAGTTGAGAATAACAACAGTATTCTCATATTATGAAAAAAAAACTACAAAACGTGTTTTTAGTTTGGAATGACATGAGAATCACTATTTGGCCTATTTTGGCACCATTTACATAATTTTGGTTTCAAAGAACCATTCCTTTAAACGCGAGTTTCCGTTCAAGGACATTTTCTTTTTGCATAAATATTAACTTAATGCTGATGATAGTTTGACCATTCAAACTTTATAAAGTTAATGATGCATCAATTTCCAGGTCTGTCTTTACATGTTTTCTGAATTCTTCTAGTTCATCTTTTAAATCACTGTACTGAACATGATGCCGTGACTAAGGGCGAAAGCAACTGTAAAAGGTCAGGTCAAGAAATGCCAAATGGTGTGCTTTCTGTGCCAGATAATTGCAAAATGACAACCTGCGTTCAAACAGGTTTATCAAACAACCATTTGTGGGTTTCTGTACAACAAACCCATACAATTAGAGTAACATGAGGAAACAAGATCCAAATTAAACACAAGTATGATTAAAATGTCAGGACGCCTCCATTTCTCAAGACCGGATTCAAAAAGAAAATCAGTGACTGTTCTTAATTTGATATAAATGTCATATTAATGCCATAATTCTTAGAACAGTCTGGCAAACCAATGAGCACCATCATCTGAGGACTCCCAGAGGGGCAAAGCCTCAACTGACTGGGATTCTAGCATCAGCCCATGCAGAAACAATACAGGTTTAAACCAGATTGTGAGCAGGGCTGAATGCTGAAGCATGGCTGGGCTTTATGCAAGACACTCCAGTAGTTATTTCTGATCTTGAGACATCGGAGAAAACATAATGAAGAAGATGCATCAGTCTAATTTCATAGATTTCGCGAATGACAGATTTAAGTGAGATCACGTGTAGAGTCAGGGGCCCCTGGTCAAACTTCATGGGCACAAGATGCAGCAGTCTTAACTATAATAAGCTTCAATTTAAGATCTCAAACTAATTCGAGCCACATGATAATACTGAACCGAGAAAACTAGTTTGATCCGATGAAAGCGTCAGCAAAAATCACACTGACCAGTTACAGAACATTGTGCACTTTTAACACAAAAGGTCGCCTATTTAAATGGTTCCAAAAATAGAGGCAATTTAAACGGAAGATTCGAATTCGAGAAATTCGAATCCGCCAAGTAACTTTCTGCAAATAAATCACTGGAATGTATAAAACGCCTGCGGACCTTCACGACGTAAGAAACGAACCAAAGTAACAAATTCAGCTGATAAGCAAACCTTTACAAGCATTTAGAAGAGTAAAGCTTTTTAAAAAGACCAAAGTGCAAACAGTTATGGCAGCAGTTCTTGCGGCGAAGCTAAATGCGAGATGAACCGTGGAGGTCTGTAACGTTAAAGTTTTTACCTCCCGAGAGCCGCGAGCTCGTCGTGTAAAGCGTCCTTAACATGTTTGGTCTTCGCGAATTTTGGCACGTCCAGATATGTGCAGGTCTCGTGAGCAGGGGCAACGCTGCCGAGAAGTTTGCCGAAACGCATCGGAGCACCGCACACATCGCCATCTTCACCGAGTCTAGACTTCAGTCATGAAATAACAGCCTGATGCACTTTACCGCTGAACCACAGACCTCGCTGATAAGTGTGACTGAGAATAAAGATATCGATAACGAAATGACCACTGGCACAGACTATACGAGCTGTTATACAAAGTCCACGCATGATGAAAGCAAAAGTGTAGCACAATGAGTGGAAATCCCTTGGTTTTGAGCGCTATGGAAATACAAAAGTTTCTTCACATACGGACTTTAAAACATACATAGGCTAATAATAATAATTATTATAATTAAAATGACAAACAACGTTTCAAACCACATATGCATGTAGCTCGAGTCATATTTCAAGTGTTTTTTCCATTCACACTTGCTAAATACGATCCGAATCCAATCGGGTACTTAAGCACAAAAATCGGATTAAGGCCGCCACTCTGAATACAGTTTAAGCCTAGATTGTTCCTGCAATTACACGAACCTAAACATTTGACCAATTACTTGTAATTAACTAGTGATTTTGTAAGTTCACACAGGTGCCATATCAGTGTCCCAACAGGTGTAATTAATCACATTAACCTTGTTGCAGTAATATTTGACATTTAATATTTCAGTCTAATGTTTTGTGTAAATGTTTAACATCTATCAAACCTTGTACATTCTCTCTATAAAATAATACAGTAGTCAACATTTGAAGTGGATAAAAAAAAAAAGTGAATCAAAGTTGTCCGAAGACAAGAACGCATTTTGATTTGAGGACAACTTTGATGCAAGGTTTAGATCCAGTTCAAATGTTGACTAGTGTTGTTTAAAATATATACATTTTCCTATCTAACACAATTACATAGCTTTTAGGGTCACTTGTGGTAAGAAATTTACCTTGCACATTATAATGAAAACTACCATTAATTTACTTTGTCATTTACAAGAGTGCTTTCATTTTTTGAGAGGGAATGTCTCTTATTTGAACCAAAAGGAGAGAAAACTGAGAGGATAAGATGCAATATGGAAACAAACCCCACAAACCAGTTGGCTTGTCCAAGTCATTATTTAATGCGATTCAGCTGAACAGCCATTAAGCCTGTTAAAAAACACAGTTGGACAGAAGATCATAAAACATCCAAACATGGCTGAGAAACATAGGTCTAATCACCCCAGGCCACAAAAATGCAGAAAATTGACAATGGGTAACAGAGAAAGGACAGCAGGGTTCCTATTCCCCATAAAACTGTGAGCTGTACGTTAAAAGATCTGCTGAAATCTTTCCCTTCAGTATGGACGGTGCATAGGTCTTAAACATTTAGGCTATAACCTTGGACAGTTCAGACTGAATCAAGAAATCCAGAGATGGACGAAATCCGCAGGTGTGGTGTTTCACTCATATGAAGTCAGTCCCAGCGTTACACTGATGTGCCCTCTGCAGGTGGAGCTGGTTTATTGTCTTCAGGCTTCATGGCCGGGAAGAGAAGCACCTCCTAAAGTAAAGCACATCAAGTCAGAAGCCGTTTTAATATCAAAGTATTTACAGAATGAGATTTGGTCAGTTTATTTACAGGGACAAAATGTCCATTGTTTTATTAATATACAAGAAGTGGTTCACAAATGTTTCAGAATCCGAAAAAGGGGCCATGGTGGGCCGTACCTTGATGTTGTTGGAGTCTGTGAGGAACATGGTGAGGCGGTCGATGCCCATGCCCCATCCTGCCGTGGGTGGAAGGCCGTACTCTAAGGCAGTGCAGAAGGTCTCGTCAATAAACATCGCCTCATCGTCACCCTCTGCCTTGGCCTGAGGACACAGATAGAACACTCATTCAACTACAGCAGGGCTGTCCAAACTCGGTCCTGGAGGGTCGGTGTCCTGCAGAGTTTAGCTCCAACTTGCCTCAACACACCTGACTGGAAGTTTCTATGCCTAGTAAAGAGCTTGATTAGCTGGTTCAGGTGTGTTTAATTAGGGTTGGAGCTAAACTCTGCAGGACACCGGCCCTCCAGGACCGCGTTTGGACAGCCCTGAACTAGAGGATACTTTCTTAGTAAATAAAAAGCCAAGTATGGTAAGACACGCTCTTTATTGCCATTTTAACAGAGCAGCCATCTCAGATGAGATTACAAACCAAAGACTTTAAAAATTGTATTAAACGAAGTCTCTTATGCTTATTAATTTATTTGACCCAAAATACAGTAAAAACAGTAATATGGCGAAATTCAATTACCATTATACTTTTTAATAATATAAATTATTCCTGTGATGCAAAGCTGAATTTTCTGCATCATTATTCTGGTCTGCATTGTCACATGATCTTTCATGTGACATCCACATGATTTCTTATAATCAATGTTTAAAACCATTTTTTTTCTGCTTAATATTTTTGTGGAAACTGATGCATTTTTCTTTTCCGGATTCTTTGATGAATAGAAAGTTCAAAAGAACCGGATTTATTTAAAATATATATATATTTTTTGTAACAATGTAGAAGTCTTTACTCTCACTTTTCATCGATTTATTCCATCCTCTAGAATTTTTTGCTTCATAGGGCCAGCAGCAAAAGTTTGTTTCTTTGGACAAAATTTGAAAACTAAGAATCAACATTTGTGCAAGATTACACAGAAAATGATGTATTCAATAGTTTATCTTCACCTTAGCCTGCTGCTCAAACAGTTCTCGTTGTCTGATGGGATCGTTCAACTCTGTGTAGGCGTTGCAGATCTCCTTCTTCATCACAAACAGTTCAAATCGCTCAGTTAGACCTTTCTGTGATCTGTGCCTGGGGTGGAGACATCAGTACATACATCAGTTGAATGTTTTAGATCATTTGTGATTTAACCAAACACTACAGGGAAAAGTCATAAATGGAAGTTAGGCACATACCATTTTGCTAGAGGACTCATGATCTGTGGATGATCACAGATGAAAGTTGGATTGATGCACTTCACCTCCAGGAAGTCTCCCACTAACTGTCAACAATAATGTGCCAAAATGAGTTAAAATGCGTGTACGATGACTAACACAAAGAATATGAAAAGTATAAATAATTTGTTTAGAAAAAAAAGTGTCTCGAGTGCACATTTTTGAGAGTCAAAAACAAGTATTGCATATAATTTAACTAGTCTGTTAGTGTGCTTTGTGTGGCCAAACACGGATCTGCCATTTAAAAAGGCCAAAGTAAGGCTTCTGGGGCAGGATTCATGAAAATCTCAAGAAAGAAGTCATTTAATGAGAAGAATTTTCAAAGGAATGTTCCGAAGTGCATTTGTTAATTTTTTAAAGATTTAAAAAAAAACAAAAAAACAACACACACACACACACACACAAAGACCATCTTTCTATGCTTAATGCAGATTTCTGTACTAATAATAAGTGTGCACTTTTTTTATTATGGTGTCTTCATACCTTGTCCAGAAGACGGGCAGTTGTCCTGGGAGGAGGGCATTCAACTTCTTTCTGAACACAAAGGTCATCTAAGAACTTGCGCGTTTCTGTAAACAACAAAGATAAATAAACTAATAAATAATGAGCTTTAATCATTATAACAATAGAGTAAAGCCCCAGCACCTATGTTAGGATGTGTCAAATAATTTTTACGTGGTACTACTTATACTTCGTAAAAACCAAGTGGTTCAACAGATGTTCTCTATGCTTGGTTTATGGACTGTAACCTTTACCATCACTGTCGTAGGTGTCAGGAGCTGGAAACTTCACCCCCAATTCCTTCTCCAGGTCTTGAGTCATGCTGATCCGTTTGAAGGGAGGAGTGAAGTCTATTTCATAGGCTTGTCCCTCTGGACCATCAGGATGATACGTCACCTTATAATCTCCGGTAATGTGCTTCACCATTCCTGTAAAAGCAACGAAGAAACTTCACTTGGTGTTCTCAGACACATCATTTTACAAATTACAAAATCATGGTGGTGCAAATTACTGTCACTTTGCCATGTTGCTTTATTAAAAAAGGAATATTTTGTCATTAGATCCCTCATGTCGTTCAATCCCTTAAAAGGAACACTCCACTATTTTTGAAAATAGGCTCATTTTCCAACTCCCCTAGAGTTAAACAGTTGAGTTTGACTGTTTTCGAATCCATTCAGCCGATCTCCGGGTCTGGCGGGAGCACTTTTAGCTGTAGCTTAGCATAGATCATTGAATCGGATTAGACCGTTAGCATCTCGCTCAAAAATGACCAAAGAGTTTCTATATTTTTCCTATTTAAAACTTGACACTTCTGTAGTTACATCGTGTACTAAAACTGACGGAAAATGAAAAGTTGTGATTTTCTAGGCCGATATGGCTAGGAACTATACTCTCATTCCGGCGTAATAATCAAGGAACTTTGCTGCTGTGTGCGTATTTATATTCATATAATTTATATTATCTATAAATTAGGGCTGTCAATAGATTAAAATTTTTAATCAATCACACCCTTTTTCTGTGATTAATCGCAATTAATCGCACACTTCATGAAATTAAACATAGACCATTTATCTAGTTTCAAATGGTTATTTTGTCATCATTTGCTATATTCAGCAAAGTAAACCAAAAGATTGAAGGGTGATTCTCAAAAATCTGTATTTTCTGCAAGCTTTTCTCAAGATAAATGTAGATGTCTTTCCAAAAAAGGACTCCAGAATAACTCCAAAAGGACACCAAAGAACCAAATGATATAAGGAGCCCATATGAGCACATATGAAAGAAAAATGCAAAAAATAAATAAATAATTATATATATATATATATATATATATATCTGAATTGTATAGTATGTGTACAGTGCAACAGCTTTTAGCTTTTTATTTTTACTTCTCTAAAATGTTTTTTTTACATTTTAGCAAAGTCAAGTTGCGTAACTGAAAATAGGCTAACTTCTGTCATCATAACCAACGTGACCACCTGCTTGCACAGGGAGCGTGCTGGGGACTATTTTCAGGTGCTGTGTAATAGCATTGCTTATTAACAAACCTGCGAGCAGCTTCTCTGTGATTTCCATCAGGTCGTGATAGTCGGCGTAAGCCATGTAGAACTCGCATGTGGTGAACTCTGGGTTGTGTGTGAGATCGATGCCTTCATTACGGAACTGACGCCCGATCTCATACACACGGTCGATTCCTCCGACTACCAACATCTGAAACGTTGATATAGGTTAGATATTATGCAAGATAACTAAATAATTTCACTACTGAACTACTACTGCAGTGACACATTTACCTTATGGTAAAGCTCAGGAGCAATTCTCATGTAGAGTTTCATATTGAGCTCATTGTGGTGGGTAATGAATGGTTTTGCTACAGCACCACCAGGTATCAGGTTCATCATTGGTGTTTCGATCTGTTAAACACATTCACAAATGACAACCATTAAAACTTGAAGGAGCTGAAG